GAATGGGTGTCTGGTGGGCCTGATCCCGGACTCGAATGGTCATTGAGTAGATCCTAGGTGTAGTTGATCTGTACAACATTTATGGGTTAGATGGGGCAGCTAGGTATCACGAATTTTCACATTCGGAATGTGTTTTGAAATGCTCGGTTCCATTCATCAATTTCCAATTAATCGTTGCGGGAATCGATGCATGCACCGAATTCTGCATGGAGAACTGGAAAAATTCATTTTTCTCCAATCCCGACAGCCAGGCCAACGCCAAGGCGTAAACGCCACCCGGGAGCATGGGGGTGGTGCTCAACGGGCGCGTGAAAATGATAGTCCCCGTAGCGCGATCCTTCCTGTATGGAGAATTCTCCCTGATTGGCTCGGCTCGGAAGCCTCGTGTGGGTATTTTCCCGTTGCGTCGGTCAGACATCTAACCGCCTTGAAGGCCGCCCTCGCCGGAACTATGGAAGAGCTGACGCCATTGTTCAAGGTTACGTGTCCAGGTGCACAGTCGGTGAGTCTGAAATTGTTAACAGAGGCAATATATATACCCCGGGCGTAAGCGCTGGGGTTTGCAACCATGTTGAGTGTCAGCTCAGCTTTCATTTTCTGTCTTCCCATCCGACCAATCACGCCGTGCGAGTATCTTCGTTGAACCCAGACGATACGGAGTCGCACATCATGCGGTGCGAGAAGCACCAGCATCGTATATCGATAGGAAATATCCAGCCCATAGTCTCCGCCGTTTCGAGTCGTTTCAAGGATGCTGCATGAGTATAGTTGCAGAAATCACCCCTCCAATTCATACTTTTCAAGAAATCATCAACATCGTTAACATACATGTCAAGAAAATCATTAATAGCGTTAACATATAGTTAAGTGATAGTATCCTTATATCGAAGACGCTTCTATCTCCCCTCAATACTGAGCACGCCCGGTCTAGTGGATCTACGCAGTAAGAAAATATGAGCTTCGGACGGATTCTCCCAATTCGAATACCTGAACGGGTATTCTCCAGCTTTGAAAAATACGATGGTTTTTTTATGGAATTGCCTCTGATGTGATGCGCCCGGGACCTGCCTACGGTTATAAGGTCTCTTCCGGGGCGCTGCTAATATTGACGATGATACCATGCCGCACGATTGTCACCACGATACACACTGATTCTAGCATGCGGCATGAAAACTTCCCACAACTTCAATCTTCCAGACTGTCTGTACGTGGTGGTTGTTGGAAAGAATTGCGCATCGTTGGTGTGAGGCTCTCCAGGAAAAACTGGGCCAGTCCCGCGGCCACGATCCGAGCGTGTCAGGCACATCCCCACATGATCGGAATTCTGTAAAGCCATTGTTCCAAGGAACCGGATTGTGTTGCCCTAACCAAGCCGATCCGGACTACCCCTCAACCGCCCGAAGATGTCATCGATCAAATTTACAAACATCATCCTGCCGATACATCATCGTTTAATCCTTAAAGCCAGATACTTCCAAAACTTCCATCATGCGCTTCCACAGTTCAGCTTTTCGTTCTTTACTCATACCATTCGGAGTTAGCTTCGTGTCTACACGTGAACTTCGCCTACTTTGCCAATCTCAGTCTCAAGCAAACCCAATAGCATCTACATACCCAAATGGTGTGAAAACATCATTGGGACAATCCCATTACTTCCAATTTCAATGGAGCTACAGTACTAGTCGGAAAGTCTCCCGCCACGCACGCGCCAACCCCACCAAATCGCGGAATCGCAAAAACACCACCAACCCTCCCACCCCCCATAACTCCACCATGCAAAGAGCTTTTAGCACAATAATTAGCAGAAATTAAAGATCTAATAGAGAGCTTTTAATTAAAACGCGTTCTGCAATTATTGCTTAATAGGAAGCTAGGCTAGGGCTGTTATAACTTACAAGGGAATTTAGCTGCAACTGCTCTACAATCACTAACACTATTAAAAGGTTCAAAACTCGCGGCACCCTATTGTCAGCTCCCCGTACCAGGCGTCCCCCTATACTATTAACCTAAGAGAAGAAGATGCTCGTTCGCGCTGCACGAAAAAACCCTAAGTTTACATATAAAAACCTTTAAGAAAAAGCAGGTCTTAATGACCCCTCCCTAGGCTGCACTACCCCCCTAGGATGCACTACTATGTACACAGTACTTAAGAAGGCTAGCCTAACTAATTACTACTATAAAATCCGTCTAAAATTAAACGCTAGGCACGCTGCCCTACGCCTTAAGTTCTCTAGGGAGTACTGTCACTTTAACTAGCGTCGTCGCGTAGTTAAGTTCTCTAACAAGTGCTCTGTTTAGAGGGGGTCTAGCAAGCAGGCTAAGTAGTGTTTTTAGTTCCTGTATAAGAAATATTATAAGAATATAATTACTAAGAAGAAAACAGGCAAACAGATGTCCTAGATAGTATAGGGGGCTATATAGATTGATCTAAATAGGAGCGTTGGCAGGAGTGAATTAATTATCATGAAACAGGACCCTAACGCCCCCCGCAACGGCTACTCTAGCCCTAGTTACTGCAAGACGCTTAAGGAAGGTCTATTACCTTAATACTAACCTAGGCAGATCTTTATGCAAGACAACGCGCCTATCTATAACTCTTAGTATACTAAGAACTTCCTAGAGGGTCACGGGATCTAGACGATAGAGTGGCCACCCTATTTGCTAGACCTTAACCCTATCAAGCACATGTAGTGGGCCTTAAAAAAGCTTGTACACAAGCTTTATCTAGAGCTTGAGACTATAGGCAACTTAGAGGAGGACTAGGAGGCCCTTAGAGCTGCTTTAAAGGAGGCGTGGAGAAAGATACCTAATTCACTTATACGCAAGCTTATTACCTCCATGCCAAGGCGTTTAGCAGCCGTGCGTAAGGCCAAGGGCTAGCAGACTAAGTACTAAGCTACGGGAGGTATCTAGCAATAATCTAGTTAAATTTTATGAATTTTGGACTATTATTTACTATATAATATATTCATCTACCTTTGGAGGTCATATCTGAAATATCCGGCGATTTTGGTGCTGCTGGGAGACTTTCCGACGGCGACTGTAGCCCGCGGGCTAGTTCCCGCACAGTATCAGATCTTGGAGCATGCATATCGAGATTTACTGCCCGATTTTCCGTCGGACATGTATCCCGCCATGCTCCAGGCTGCTCGAGACCACGATGTGGAATTGCTTGGGTTGCCCATTGCCGATTTTTCGGTATGTCAACACCCGCAACATATACTAGGAAGGTCTTGTTATCAGACTGGTGCCAATTTCTAACTTGGCATCAACAGCGCGCTAGGGTTGAGTTTCCTTTTATCAACCTACTAAACGATAACTATACGTCATGCCGTTGGGCTCTATCTCTGCTTACAGCGTTTCCAACAGCAAGTATTACGAGTCATCCTTTTCGGTTCAGTACGGTCACGTGAGCCGTATGGAAGTATGAGACCTCTCAATCGTATACGTATAATAGTGAGGCTGAAAAGTTCAATCGTAATACGACTCAGCTCTTGGCAGACCCTCTTGGCAGTGAACGTTCTATGGCTAAGCAAGATCTTGAGTAAAATTCTTAGTAACCCTGCTAAGCTAGCAAAAGTATTGACCGTTATGTTACTACTTTTGGCGAAAAGTACGAAACGCATAAGAGCTCAAACGGGAAGTATTGTGTAACCGTAAGTCTGCTTGATGTCTCCTAAACAGGAAGGAAGTATTATGAATCTGAGACGTAACAGGGACGAATTGTATCGAGTCGAACCTTATCCTTACTGTTGGAAACGCTGTCTGCTTATGACCACCACAAACGCCGGCGCAGTATCCGGGGCCACCGCGTACGGGACAAACGTCTCCCCTAGTAAATTCGACCCTACGTTCAGTGCATACAACTATTTACCTGGAGCATCTTCAAAGACCATCACCTTCAATGCATCGAGTCTCGTTCCAGCCAGTGCGTTCATCGAATCCGTTTTCTCTACAGCGCAAGGCTCTCCGTACAACATCGAGTTCTACAAGAACTACACCAATCAACCCAGCTTCGCGGATGGTAAGACCTGCGATGACATGATCAGGCTTTTCAACACCTCGCTCTCAGCCCCATCATATGCCCCTGTTTGGGTGCGAGGATTCGTTAAAGTGAAGATGGCATCTTTTGACGAGGCGAGGGAGTGGTCGTAGGTTTATGGGATGCGACTTGCCACCGCATTCATCGAGAATCACTACTTGGACTGTGAAAGCTTGCAGATTTATTCGGGAACTGGCCTAGGGGATTGATTGATCTAAAGAAGGGTATCACAGGGGTGGTAGGACTCATGCATTTGCTTCTTCTCTTTGATTCGGCAGCGCGAACATCTACCGCAATGTGCGGGGTCCTTTTGTTGGTTCGTTTTGCAGTCATGGATTCCTCTCGTTTATCTTGAAAGCCTTGGCCACTGTCTCATCCTGTACTGCTGGCCCTATTCTTCTAACGATGATTTTGACAGCTAGATTGCCTCGCATCACTAAGTAAACCCTGGTACACAGCCCAATACCCTGTAACGGTAGTAACAATCGATGCGGTAGCTCCATAAAGTCGTTCACAAGTGTTTAACAGTGTGTCATACTTCGTTGCCGCAAATAGAATAATCCTGTAGAAATTCAATGTCTTTCTTCCTTGCTCTGCATTCCTCTAGATCTGGAACGCCGGCCACGACGGTTTCCCCGATACACGCAGAGCCCCGGAGACTCTCGCTACTAATCTTTTAGGCTTTCTATTTACTGTTTTCTCTTTGAAAACTCCTAGTGAACTTGCAGCTATGCCTTTGCCTAGTCATGATAAGGGACGAGCAAATCCGAAATCGCCTTGTTTCGATAACCCGGATGTACAATCCTTGACATTCTCTAAAAAAATAAACCCCTGCAAACTTTGTTGAGAGATTTCAAAGTACTCAATAACTGTCCGCCTTCCGCTCGTGCCTCATCAACCAAGAGCCACGAACACAGGCGAGCCGCCACCGCACACCAAAAAATCAGCAAAAAAGTTCTGATGAGAGTGGGACTCGAACCCACGCCACTTTCGTGACTAGGAATTAATGCTAAGGAATGCCTTAACTATATCCTTGTTAGTTTAATCATTCGCCGCAGAGAGTCACATGATGCGTACCCTAGCGCCATAACCAGCTCGGCCATCTCACCTTCTGATTGGTTGATGGAGGAAATCGGTAAAAGTTTCGTATATATAGTTTGGCAAAAACGGATTCGGGGGAGATTTTGCGACGGCGGGAATGGGTTCTGGGCTTCGGGTTGTGGGAGGGGAGTGGGGCGGTAAGGAAAATTTGCAGGTGCGGTGTTGGTGCCGGTGCTGGTATCCACTCACTTGCACTCGGCATCAACATTGATTCGCTGTGAACATTCAGATGGTCATTATTTTCTATCTGCGCCTATTGGTTAGGCCCATACACTTTCTAACTCCACGGTTCGTCGACCGGAGAAATGCTAAACGTTTGCGATCATACATTACAGTCCCAGATCCGCATTAACACATTACAAGAAGCCTAGATATGCGCCGACAGCAGACTACTCAAACAAAAACGAAACGCCGATGCTCGACCTCTGAAATCTTTCCAGGGGAGTAAGGAATTCAGAGCAAATCGAATGCCACATTAAGTCGAAAAGGAAAAAAAAAACTTCATAATCTTAACAGCGGCCACAGAATGCCCGAGCGCTGTGTGCTGTATCCTCAAACTTACTATTGCACTTCTTGCAGATCTTGACCAGTGCGACGAGAGAGGTGCCCGCTGCAATCACACTCGCCGAGACTACGGGTGTGACGAAGGGATCAATGACTGCAAACGGGGCAGCAAGCGCTCCGCCGACAATCATGCTTTGACCAACGAGTTTGACGCCCTGGGCGGCCATCTCGCGCTTGCTTCGCTTCTTATTCAACGCTGGTGTAGGTGGATAGAGGCCTTGGTTCGGTGACTGATTACCGTACGGAGTTTGGGGAGTGTATAGGCTTTGGGAACTCTGTGCGCTCCAGGGACTTGGTGTGTTGTACGAGCTTTGCGAGCTTTGTGTGGTGTAAGACCCCTGCGTGTCGATGGATGGACGGGCTGGGGTCATGTCGTGTCCGACCCAGTGTGAGTTGTGTGAAGCATTGTTGAATGAGTCATGATGTTGATTGTGCTGCCCATACGCGTGGTTGTTGTAAGGGTCTGGCTGTCCGTAGTGGTTGTAATTCTGTGATGGGTTTTGGAAGTAACTTTCGTTTCCGTAAGGCTGGGAGTTCTGATTATGCCAAGCCATTGTGTCGATCGGGGACGGAAGAAGGAAGGTTGCCGGGAAGGCTACTTGATGATAAGAAAATATCACGGATCCAAAGGTTCTTAGGTTGACTTACGATTCTAATATCTGTGGGGAAGTGATTGTCGGTCGAGGTAAGAGTTTAAGAGTCTGGGTGTTGCAGGGCGCACTGAGATTAGAAACGAGAACAAGCTCCGCGCGCGGCGATCAGATATATATGATCCGCGTCGGCACACTAAGAGCCCGAAACCATAGCCAGGGGGCGCTTTCCCGAGCGAGAGAATCAACAAAAAGGAATGACTCTTACCGCGCAGGCTGACTTCCGCGCACCGGGTCGGGCGGCCTGCTGCAATCTCAAAGCCTCAGGTTTGAAAGTACCAATGATGGGATAGCCCTAGCGCCAAAACATCAGTGACGAATATATCGGTCGCCGGTGGATATGCGCCCCTTTTCTCAGCATGTTGAAAAGACACCCCGCCAGCTCTGATACGCCCATTTTGCAGGTCAGCATGAGTGGAGAAAGCCTTCAGTATGAGTTAACGCCCTTCGAAGCTTCGTGGCGCCGCCCTCAAGCGACAACTAGCAGGTTGGCGTTTTTCAGCCTTGCGTCCTCCGCGGCAAGTCAAACACCAAAGTGTTCAGGCAACACTCAAACGGGACACGTATTCTCGTGAATTGAGTGACTCTTCGGGATATATTTCCGTGATTCCCCGAAACTGAACCGCAGTTATTGTGTCAGACGAGTCGAAAGTCTGAGAAATCAAGGAATCTTTGAAAGTTTGTCAAGAGGATATTGTGGCTGAAGGAAGTGGCTGATCTGAACTTGCTTTTTACTCGTGTACTTAGTACCCCACGCAGAATTCGGCCTTGTTGCCTTGTGACAGCCTTCAGCCGCACCGTCGGCGGGAGGGAGAAGACGAGCAAGTAAGAAAGTAGCACTGGGAATGTACTTAGTAATTGATTGATGTCGTGGTGGTACATGTACATACATAAAGGCTTGCAGCAGTGTCAAAACCATGTTCTTCTCACCACTGATAGAGCAAATCCGTGGGCTTGAAGGGTGTTTCTTTTGGGTACATTTTATTGCAATTGGAGGACGGGGTTTTCGGCAAGTAACAAGCAGTTTTAGGATCTGCGACCTATCTGGTGCGCTTTACCCTTGCTGGGATTAGTGTTGAGGCTAGTACTACTTCAGTGACTTGGGTACCAATATGAGAGTGCCCGTGCGCAATACCTACCTGGAATTCCTACTTGAAAGAATACGCTGTCTGGTTAGTTTTGGTTCCAAGGGTTCCAGTGATAGCTACGACATCGCGTTACAGTACTTTCTCATCGCGACCGTCCGCCGACGATCTTCATCTGGAACGGGAGATCATTCAAAGGCAATGAAAGCGGGCTTTGTAACACTGTTGATTCCAGCGGAAGTATGTATACTACAGAGTGGAGCTCCCATTTTCATCTGAGAGCATTCTTGCGATCAGTTATTCTCACGGCCCATCAACGCGCGTGTGAAATATCCATCCCATGATACATTTTGATAGATTCCCCGCGAGGAACCTTTCGAGCAGCCAATCGTGCCCGGCCCGCCCTTGAGCATCAACCACGAACTGTGCATAGGGCCTGTTGTCTAAGAAGTTGGTTCGAGAACCTACACACCAGGATTTACGTCTTGTGTGGCTTCCGGCTTGCGGTGCGTGTGTCCTTCGCACTCCTTCGGGAAGCACTCCCGGCACTGAGTCTACTCGAGTTTAGCGAACATCTTATTGTGTATTGGTGTAAAGTATGTAACCTACAGTGAAAGTGTATCTCGGGCAAACATCATCCAAGCAACTGGGGGCCCGCTTGCAGGAATTGAGCAAGTAAGTGCAGGTCACGCAGGGATTCGGGATTGGAACAGGCTTGGTGGTTTTCATCTCGATATGTCCATTGCAAATTTTCGGAAGCATCTCAGAGCAGTACGCCTACTTGGGTTAGCCGCTGCTTGTTCATCAATTTGGGAACCAACCCACCCCGTCCTCTTCGATCCAGGTCGAACACATTTCCTTCAGGCACTCGGACTCACAGGTCGAGTTGTGCTTTACACAGCCAGAGGTCTTCTTGCACTTATCGAGAAGAGCCACGCATTGAGCCGGGGGATCGACGAATTCGGGATCCTGCCTTGCCTTCACCGCAGCGTTGTTGGCTTGACCATCATCGGATCCAATCGGTCCACGCTGGGTTCCACGCTGGTTGAGAGGAAAAGGCCAACGCTCGGTCGTGCCGACGATATTGGGACGGGCCAAGCCGTCTTCTCCACCGACCGGCTGGGGAACCGCGACTGCGAGAGAAGTGGCAGTCACGACCGCAAGGGCAGCCACGATGATTTGAAGCTTCATGCTGCTGTCGGGATCGAGGAGTGGTTTGAACGAGTGTAGATTGGTGAAACTGACAGACTTGAGGTTTGCGGGCGTTCGAGTATGAAGGCGAAGGTGCAAGTAGGTTCGCACAAGACGAAGCGAGGCGACCTTTTCTTGCGATGAAGCGCATGGCAGTTTCGAGAGACCAAAAGTAAAATTAAGGTCATCACCGGTGACGTCGTGGAGTCACTCGTCACTAACGCAGGAAGCGGCTATCACGAGGAAGCAAGACGCTGCACAAAGAAAAAAGGTACTCAATCCATCGCGTCTCTAATTCCCGCAGTGTCTGATAGTTGTGTACTTATGGCGTCTCGACAAACCGAGGCGTGATCAGTTGTCGCCTTTACCAAGCATGCCAAAGTCAGTTCCCGGCCCCAACTCGAGTCACCTCATCTTGGCTCTGCTTTCTCTCCCAGAAATTCAGAGGCGGTTCATTCGCACCTCGATCAGCCGTCACACAGGCCAGTCTATGCTTCATGTGCCATCCTGCTTGCAAGCTTCTCTCTTATTCGCTCATACCGACTATTACATTTCTTACAGAAAAAGACTCCAAGCTGCATAACCAACCCAGTGGCCGCCACACCGCCTAGGATAATTATAATAATTCCGGAGATATCAAGTGGTGAAAAGATAAGCCTGCCGTGCCGGCCGCCATCGTATATTTGACTGCTTTGTCGCATCGATCTAGGGCCTGTCACTTCTGGACAGGCAGGTATTTGCGGTGGAGATGGTGGAAAGCCTTATTTGCGTTAGGGCGAATATGGTCAAGTCAGAGAACGAGTACTTAGGACGAGTACCCGGAAACAGTCGGAGCAGTGTCGACCCCATTGCGATTACGCTGAATCAAGGCTTTCGATATGGTGTTCGAGCTTTCAATGCTCGGACGCGGTGGATAGTAGACGCTGTCATTGTAGTTGTTTCTCTGCTGGAGAGAAGTCTGCGAAGCTTGGAACTGTATGATGGTGCTAAGATCTCGTTGAGCTTATGTACTGGAGGAGCGGTGAGCTTTTGTTGGCCAAGAAGTAGACGTACAGGCTTCCATTCGTGCAGCCAAGGATCTTGCATATTCTCTTTCAAGTACGACATCTCTCCGGTATCGATATTTGGCTTGCTGTCTTGCCGGTGAGGGTGGGTGAAGATGTGCTAAATTGCAACTTTATATCGATGCCGAGCTTGGGAAGAGCCGCATTGGGCGCGACCTCTCATTGAGGCATGGCCTCTCTCACTACAGCATGTGAATTCTGGCAGTGGAGTGGATAGGGCTGTGGAGGGTCTTCGAATCAGCCACCCTTTGATCCGTGTGAATGCTCCTACTATACTATGACCAAGTACCACATGCTATGCAAAGCGTGAGTCACGCAGCCGTGTATAAAGACATCCAATCAAACGAGGTTGCATTTTGTTGATGCATATACGGACAGCGAATATGTGTATGAATCGACGATTGCGGGTAGATATTGAGATGAAGAGCCTATCGAAGCGTCAATGAAGCCCCGC